ATAATCGTTCTTAACAAATATAAGGGTTGCTCAATCGGTACAGCGTCGTTCCCGGAAGTGAAATGCCCTGGGTTCGAGCCTAGATTGAGTCAGTCTACTGTTTTCCTTCCAAGACTAGTAAATGAGAAGCACTGTAAGGGAAGAAAACAGGGGAACAGAAAACACCATGCCTACATGAATAACCTTATACGTTGTCTTTAATAAAAAAACAAGACACTCTTGGCTGATGACAGAGGAACCGAAATCAGAGCCGCGCTTTATGCTTCATTAAGCGAATGACGTCACAAATCGTCACAATCATTAAAACGTGGGGGAGACCGATATCGCAAAAGAAAAAATGTTCTTTCTTCCGTTCTTTTAATAAAACTGCAATCTGCATAACATTCCTGATGTTCGCTCACCCAGCACTTCATCTTGATATATGGAAGTGTCAACAGTTCCAAATAAGGCAAGATTTATTTTCCTCTGAAAGGGATTTGTTACATAATGTTCTTTCGTAGACTATATCTGGGTTTCTGCGATATGAGTTTAAGCGTCAAAGCAGCATGGCTGCTTCTCTGTAGATGACTGAACCATGCGAGTCATTTTTTCTAAGCTGCCATAACATTCTTTTGACGTCACTGTTGACGTCACAGTACATGACCGCTTTTCATACGACGCACTATCAGATTTTCAGAATGCACCGTAACCAGCCGTGTAGGACATAGTTAAATCATCTTTCATCTGCAGTAATATAAGATACTCATGGCCCGTCTAGAAGGATGACAATTCGAGGGCAACGTAGCAAATTCAGATGTTGGTGGAGACTATCATCACATTTCTAACGCTGCCTTGTAAAAAGCGCTTGCCCGCCTATAGAAGCCAGCACAACTGTTTGGTTAGGTACTGACCACAAATACCAAAATTATGACGTAGAGGTACTTCAACTGTTGGTCTTATTCAGTAGTGCTCTTTCAAGGACAAACCTTTGGTTTTACTGTTCCATCTATTCTCCACACAAATTCTTTCCTGCTAAAGGAGTTCAGTTGGAGCTACTTCTGATAACTGCGTTAATATCAAATGTAAATACCAGCGCAATGAAAGTAAAACTATTCAAGTCAGAAATGCTCTTAAATTCTTGCACGCAGTTATTAACAAACCAAAGACTTACTCAATGCCGGATGCCGATCCAATCTGAGGATTATCCTTTAATCCGATACTACCAACGGTATATGGTATTTCTGGTCGCGATTCGTTCCAGTGAATGTCTCGTT